TTTCCCTAAAGAGGCTCAGGGTCGTGTTTTCCTAACCGGTCCTGCGTGTCCGTGTGGGAGCTCGACCCTGGCTAGCCAGCCCAATAAACTCTGCTTTGTTGATTGCATTCTCGCCTGGCTCTCTGTCTCTCGGGGAATAGGATTCCGGGTCCTAACACCAGTACCACAGACATGAGCCACTGGTACCTCTTTATTGAAATTCTAAGGGAGGAGCAGGTCTGAGATGAGAGATGTCAGCATTAAGAGATAATAGACATGTGAGTTCATTTTCCAATCATTAAAGTGTAATTCTCAAGTAGGATAGAGGAGTCTCAGATTGGAAGAGATAACTGGGATAGAGATGTAAATTTGGTAATAACCTGCATGCAGATGGTACTCAAAGCCATGGGACTGGATGGGATTGTTGATAGGTAAGTGTAGATAAAGAAGCCTGAAAAGGAGACTGGAGACTGGTGTATTTCATAGGGATGAAGTAAGAAGGAAAGCAATGAAGCGTGTCAGAGACAAGAAATGATCAACTATGCTCTATGCTCTGAGTGTTTGTGTCTCCTCAAAATTCAGATGTTGAAAGCTCATCACCAATATGAAGGTTTAAGAAGGTGGGGCCTTTGGGAGGGATTAGGGCCCTTCTACAAGGAGCCCCAGAGAGCTTCCTTGCCCATTACCATGTGAAGACATATAAGAAGCCACCTATGAACTGAGTGTGGGCCTTCATCAGTTATTGGATTTGTTGGCACCTTGATCTTGGACTTCCTAGTTTCTAGAACTGTGAGAAACAAAATTTCCATGTTTTATGAGCCATCCAGTTTATGGTATTTTTTTATAGCAGTCTGAAAAGACTAAGTTGTATCTCAAACGCTGCTGATAAGGCAAGAAAGAGTGAGGACTATACTTGTCTAGTTTCTGTTAGAATAACAAAATACCCAAGCATGGATGTTTTATAAAGAAAAGAGGTTTATTTAGCTCACAGTTTTGGAGTTTAGAAGTCCAAGTAGTGGGGGGTCCACTCTGGTGAGGGTCTCCCTGGCTGCATCACATCCTGGCAGATGTCATTATGGGGAGAGAGGACATACAGGAAGGAGAGAATGCATGGCAAGACAGGAAGCCAGAGTGGAAGGAGGGACCGGTACTGTTCTCTTTGTAACTAACTCAGGGTCTCACAGACTAACTAACTTAATCTCTTCTGAGGGCAGCATCCCCAACTCACTTCCCCCTAGGTTCCACCTCTTAAAGCTCTCACCATTCTTAACATTGCCACATTAGGGACCACGCTTCCAACATGTAAACCTTTGGGGACAAACCACATCCAAAGCATAGCTAAGACAGAACTCATTATAAGTTTATGCAAACAGAGGTAATTTTGGGTATAAGTAAAATTTTTTATTTGGTGACACTGTTTGTGACTCTTGCAAGTTGTTCTTAAGCAAGACACAGTAGAATTTGTTGTCTCTTTCCCAGACATAGCATGCCTACAAGAAGGGAAGAGGCTGTGTGCATTCTATAAAACCCTTGCTTATGGCCCCTTTGTATAAAAATCATGCTTCTTTGTACTGGTGAAGTGAGAGACTTGAGATTAGCTATCTATGTGGGCTCCTAATTTCTGCCCAGAAACAATTAATAAGAGGAGCAGAGCAAGTGCTCACTGTTGGGAGGGTTACCACTTTGCTTTCAGAAGCCCAGCTGCAATCTTGGGTAACCTTCCTGTGTCCTCTGCAGACTGAAAAAGCATTCAGCTTTGGGCCAGGACCATTTCAGAGCTAAAGATGCTCACTTTAAGGCCAGCAAAGGAACAAATGGAGGTTATATGTAACATTATTTCACACTTGTACCTGTAGGAAATTCAGGAGAAAGCTCTTTTCCAACTTCTATCTTTTGGAGTCTTATAATTCTCATATCCATGAAATAAAATGTAATAAATTATGATTTGGCCAGGAAAGGAAAGATCACTCCTCTATGTTATGTGCATGGTATGCACAAGACAAGGAAACAACAAATCTGGACTTTACAAGACTGTGCCTGGATTCATCTGGATGGGGTAGCATTAAGAAATCCCAAAATAATTTACTAAGTTTGGAGAAGAATCCTGTGGTCAGAAATTGAACTCCAGACTAAAGTATCTTAGGTATAGGCACAGATAAGATGAATTAAGAAGATAGCTGACTTAGGAGGTAACTGCCCAGTGGTTGTCAATATGTGGCCCCAAGATCAGCAGCATCTGCATCACCTGGTGGTAGGTTAAAATGCAGATTCTCAGGCCTCACTCAAAACCTCTGGAGTCACAAACTCAGCCATCTATTTTAACAGGTGATTCTGATTCCTGCTAATACCAAAGACTCAAGCCAAGGATTCATTAGGCTAATGGTATTTGCTGGCTGGAACTGGGGAGAATATTAACAATGTGAGTCAGTGCAGGTTTTGCGTCTGGCTGAGTGGGGAAAGTTATTTAAATTGTTTGATTATATTTTGCTATTTCTCCTAAACAAATTAACAAAATTTCCCTATCAAGTTCTATAGAAATGTGTACACACACACACACAGATGTTATCTCTGTGCAACAGAAACCAAAACTAACAGAGGTTTAAACCATAGAGTTATTATTTGACAAAAATACTAGACTTGGTCCTGGCTTAGTTTAGAGGCTCTCTGAAGTCATCAAGGCTTTAGGTACAGGCACTAGATTTATATACATATATTTCTTTGCATTGCCCCTTTACTTATGCCAGTGGTGTCTCTTATGACCACAAAATGGTTGTCAAGGAGGCAAGTATTAAATCTTGTTATGACAGCATTTTAAGAAGGAAGGAGGCTAGGCACATAGTTCATACCTGTCATCTTTTCTACTTTGGGGATAGAAATTGGGACAATCATGGTTCCAGGCCTGCCTGACCAAAAAATTGGCAAGACTCCATCTCAACCAATAAAAGCTGGATTTGCTGGCACATGTCTCATTCCAGCCACAAGGGAAGCATAAATAGGAGGATTGCAATTGTGGCCAGCCTGGGCATAAACACGAGAACCTCTTTTAGGCAGGCATTCTTACCTCTTGAGCCACTCTGCCAAACCAAGATCCTCTTGTAAAAATAGCAAAAGCAAAAAGGGCTGGAGGCATGGTTCAAGCAGTATAGTGCCAGTTTAGCAAGCTCAAGGCCCTGAACTTAAACCCATGTACCATCAACGAAAAAACCCCTAAAAGTTATTTCTAATGGGGGAAACCAGACATGAGGTCTCCCAAGTTGCCCATTATGTGTGAGAGTCTACTATGAAAACTAGAGCATCAGCTGAAAAAATAAAATCTCCCTGAAAGATGTTTTTGAAGTAGTACATAATAGATAACAAGTATTAATACTTTTCTCCCAATGTAAATCTATATCTTATATTAATTTGGGACAAATGTTTGGCAGTAGATACAGTGATTAAATAAGTGTTCTGTTCACCTGTGGAATCTATTTGGAATAGCATGTTATCCCAGTCCAAGCATAGGATGTATGTAGTTCATATTCATGTTGGAGAAGTACAGACTTCTGGGGTCAGGGATGAATAGAAGAAAACTCTGTAGATGTCTCTAGAAGCTGATTGTCTGAGTGGCCAGAGTTTAATCCCAATTGGGGAAAATACCATTAAATGGCTGGGCCACTACACTGAAAGGTGATGTGTGTACATGGTTGTATTCTTTTCCAGCATTTCCACCCTGTTCTGAGGGATAAGTGATTGACAGAACTGATTCAAGGGGTTTGGAGCAGGAAGCTTTGTTTTGGCTGAACCACATTTTCTTGGTCTGAATTACACTTTCCAGTGTGGTCGAATTGTACCATGAAGGAGCTCTGCATAGGCATGTCGGCTATAAGCCAGCTATGTTTGAAGCATCCGTCTATCCAATTACCATTCTTGGTGGTCACACTCTTGTGGTTGAGGACCTCCACAAGAAGAGAGGCAGAGGAAGAGGTAGGATTAGAGCACAATCCCAATCCTTAACCCAGACATCAAGCTTTTTTCAGAGCAGCAATAAAGTGTTAACTTTGGAAACAAGCAAAAGTCAGTCTTGTTTTGAGATTCTCCATTTCAATGTGGTGGTCTAGAAGCAGCGTAGAAACAGTTGAAACTCTTCTGAATTTTCAGAAAGTAACCTGTACCTTCAGAGTTATTTAAAAATGCAGAGAAAGCAGAGATAGCTGCAGTTTTTAACAAGACTCCTGGATTTTCAAAAGTTCCTAGGCAGTATTTGTACAGAATCGTATTATACTCAAAAATATATGAGCACATTGGTTTGACTAGTATTGCTTTAAGAATATAATTTTTACTTCATGCATTTTCATGGTGAAATATTGTTCTTCCTTCAAAATTCAGTTTATTCAGACCATATCTGGTATTGAGAATTAGAAATCTATTAAATCAAAGATTTTTTTTTTAAAGTTTAGTTTTCTGCAAAGACACTTACACCAAGGAAAAACAGCACACTGCCAGGTCTTCCAGACAGGAACCCGTCCAGCCCTGAAGACCTTGCAGGCAGAACTTTGTGCTCTTCTTTAGCTCACTGCTATGAGCTTGACTGAAACGCCAAGTATTCATTCCTTTGTCTCAGTCAAGTTCGACAGAGAGAAAGAAAGGGAAGAAAAAAGATTAGCTCTCATTGATTCTGGCCCAAGGTAGTAGACAGGTGAGCAAATGTAGCCACGGAGGCCCACATCTTAGGAATGGCAGTGGAAGCAGGTTCTCTCAGAAGGTTGTATGGGCAAAGATGCAGTGACCGAAACTCTATTTTTATGTGTACTTTTAAAAATAGAAATTGACAAGTTATTTCTGAGGAAAGTGCAATAATAAAAAAACACAGGAATGGACACAGATAAGATGAAATGATTGAATTTTCTTATTGTGGCTAGCATATTATTAGTTAAGCCTGATCTAAATCTTCCAAATCACTTTCCCCTAAATACATAAATTCACAGGTCTTTATGTATTTATTACAGCTGCAAATTTCTTTACATTTGGTCTAATTGGAGCTATCAGCGTTCCTCAGTGTTGCCTTCAAGGTCTGTAAAGGTAAGAAAAATGAAAATATGTTACTATTTAAAAAATACATTAGTAGCTTCTAGTTTTCTTGACTTTTCTTTTGTCCCCTTTCCTTCTGTCTTCTAGATTCCTGTATTCAGTCTGATTCAATGACTGAGAGAATGCATGTGTAGCATGAATTCTATGGGGAAATAAAACCACAAGACCACCACTAGATAGTTTCATATAGCAAAACTAATTCTGGCCCCTTTCTTGACCTAAAGCTCTCTCTGCATGCAGGCTCTGTAGGCTCTTTTGCTTCTCATTCTAAAATGTGTATGCAGCTATCTTTCCAGCTCCATTTTGTCTCTGGGCCCTGCTTCACTTCAATGGACAATAATTCTCTGTAATTAGCCCTAAGTCAAAGCCCTTCATACCGAATGGAGGGTGAATTGGATTGCGTTTCTTTTATCGGACATTTAAATAAAAGTGTGGAGGCATGGGTGAATATCCTGATTATTTAGCTGCAAAGCAATCTGTACCAGACTTGTTTTCATAAAATGTTGGGAAAACTCAGTTAAATACGTTGGAAATCTGGACTCACAGATATATTGGAGTCTGTTTCCTTGCTTGTTAACTCATTTGTTCTGAGAGAAGGATTAGGTTCTTGCTGTCATAGCTTTGATTAAAAAAGTGGGAAATTCCAGAATAGGCAAGCCAGGTCAAGTCCCTGGGATGTGAGAGGAAGGTTTGAAAAGAATTGTAGTGCAAGAAAACTTGATCATCTAGTATCCAGTTCCACCAGTAGAAAAAGGAAAACACTCATTAATGATTTGTCTATTACCTACCACTTATGGGCTCTTGGAATGATGGTGTTACAGAGGTGGTGTGATGACTCAGCTCTGAAATTTCCACTATACCAAGGAGAGAATTAAAAGGACAGGTTTTAGTATTTAAGGCACATAGATTTATACAGTTATTCTCATTTTTTTCCAACCTCATTTCTTCCACTCTGAAGTTTCTCTGAATGCCTTGCTCTGTTAGGAGTTGCAAGATATTGAACCACCTTTTTATGGAGTCTCAACCTAAGACAATGGCTGGTCCATGGCCCGATGGGCAATAAGACCAAGAAGATGTCCAAATGACTCAGTGTAGCAACTCTTTACCAACCTCCCATGAAGTCTTAGTCTCACAATATTAATCACTGGTCAACTTCTCAGTGGTTGCCCCTTTCCGGTGGCAGAGATTCAGGTGAAGAAGTGGTAAAATGGAAACACTTTTTTTTTTTTATTATTTGTATATGTTTCATATAGAGAGATTTAGAAAATATACAAGCCTATACACATAAATCTTGGCAAGAATTCAATATTTATATCATCTATCTATCTATCTATCTATCTATCTATCATCTATCTATCTATCATCTCTCTATCTATCTAGAGATTCCTGGATGTTGAAGAGAATTCTAATTTGGCTCATTTAGTCTCATCCTCTCATCCATCTTCTGAGGAAGATCCTGTCTTGTCCTGTTGGCTATCTGGGGCTTTGTAAAGAAGAATTAAGTAGAAAGGGAGAGCAGGGGAGGGAGAGATAAACACAAAGGGCCAGGGCTAAGCTGGAGTGTTTTGGGAGAGTTTGAGTGAGTATGACATTCAGGCATTTCCAATATTAAAAATAATTATTGACATTTTTATCCCTCTTTCAAAGTGCTTATGGAGTGTGAGAAAAGAAGCAGTTATTTAAAAATTACTTTGGTCATTGGACTATGTTCTGACCACAGCATCATTCTGTAAAACTGAACAAGATGAGTCATGATCAGGAGTGCTACAGAGATTGCCTATAGCTCCACTGACTCACCGTCTGACACAGCTAGATGTTTGTTTTCATCTGGGACTAGATCGGAATACACACTGGCTTTATGGTCTGAAAATAAAATTAAACAAAACATATTGGTTTAGAATATAGCCATCAGTCTATAAGATGTTGTAAGTCAGTGTTTTTCAAGCTGTGTGGACCTAGACACTTGGTAAAGAATGCATTTTAGGTTATAGCCCGGGATGTGCATTTGTGTACATATAAATCAATGAAAAATTACATTAAATAATATTTTTTTCTATTCCTTAACTTTTCTTTGAAATCTTTTTTTTCTTTATAATATTTCAATGAGAAAATGCTAGTGTTTAATTTCGTTAGCCCTAATTTTTAAAAAATCCACATAAGGTTATAGACATTGCTTATCTTTCCAAATCTGGCTTATTTTGCTTAACATGATCTCCAGTTCTATCCATTTTCCTGCAAATGACATAATTCATCTTTCTTTATGGCTGGATAATACTCCATTGTTATAAATATATCACATTTTCTTTATCCATTCATATGTTGATGGGCACCAAGACTGATTCCATAACTTAATTATTGTGAATAGTGCTATAAAAAACATGGCAATGCAGGTTTTCTATTGTATGGAAAGTTATATTTGATTTTAATGCTCATTCCACAATAAGTCCCCCAAAGAACCTGAAATCAACACCATTTTCTCCACTTTATCACCATTGAAGCTCTTTAGTTTGTGCAAGAATATAATTTAGTAGAAGGTCAACCCTCTCAAATCTTTATTATACCTTATATTGTAAATATTCTAGGGAATATTACTCTGCAATTTGGCTTCTCTTCCTCCACCTTCTTTATGCCAGATCTTACAGTTTTTCCTCAATTCTCTCACAGGTCCTTTGTACCTCAGTCTTTTCCTTAAGTATTATTTAATACCAGTTGGGCCAACTAGAATGGTAATGCTTCTGCTCAGTTACCTAGAGAGACAATCTAGCTCACCAAGCCTCTTAAAAGATCTGTTGGGGCTGAGACTGAGCTCACCATGCTCTTCTGGACAGTGATTTGGGTTGTGTGGGGCTCTATAGAGTTAACGCAACTAGATTACTTCTGTTAGCTTGACCCCATCTAGTTCATGCTTTGTCCCATCATCTACTAGTCATATTGATAACCACATAGCCAAACAACACATGGCTCCTATCCACCTTCCCAGTTCTGCTTGTCCTTTTGTGTATCTGCCGTAGCAGTTTTTTGTTTTTAACTACCCCAGGTTTGTACTTTTTTCCATGCCTTGATTACCTAAAATGCCTCCTTTACCATGTTCTTTTTTCTTTGTGGGAAGTCTTTTACCAATTCCTTCCTATGCCCCTCCACTTATACACCTCTTTTTCTCTAAATCAAAAGAGTGCTCCTTACTTATCCTTTCAGTCCATGTCACCTCTCCTGGAAAGCCTTTCCAAACCCTCCCGGTCTATGGCAGGAGATATCTATGTGCTCCCATTATGCCCATTTCCTTCCTTTCTTCCCCCCTCTCTCTTTCTTTCTTTTTTCCTTCCCTTCCCCTTCCTTTTCTTCTTTCTGATGGCAAAATACATACAACATGAAATTTACCTTGTTAAAAATTTAAAGATACAATACAGCGTAGTCAACTATGTGCACACTATTGTACGGCAGCTCTCTAGAACTTTTTATCTTACATGACTGAGCTAGCACAGTTTGTGAATAAATAAATGCCCATTTGTTTATCTTTAGCCACCTTAATTCCCAAATAGATTCAAGAAATGATTAAATTTTCTTCTTCATACTTTAAAGGATTTTTCCTTTCCTTGTGAGTTTTTACATTACTTATTTTGCCCTCTCCCTGCCTTGCTGTGGGAGACAGTAACTAAACAGACTGAGAAAGAACTTTGACATGTGCAAGGCCATGTCAAAGACCTTTGTGCTGCGAAGGCAAGGTCCCGGCACAAAGTAGGTGAGCAAGGCAGCCTTGCAAGTAGGGAGACTGAGGCAGTGGAGATAGACCTTGGCATGAACACAGCTCTATCAAAGGGCCCCTTGGCTGATAGGCACGGACCCAGCCAAGGGGAGGCAAGGTTCAGCAAGAACTGCCTTGCAGGGAAAACAGGGCATGTTGACGAAGTCAGGATAGTCTGCAGTAAATAACAACATGCCACTGCTACGCTGTTCCTGCTGCCTATGCGACTGGACCCATGAGAGCTCAACCTGCCCTTCACCCCACTTTCCCACACCTGCTGTATAAATAAATGCGCTTATAGGCAGAGGGGGTCGCCAGCATCTCTCATCAGGAGTGCTGGACCCACCTGGTCCCAAGCTTTTCTATATGTCTGTCTTTGTGTCTTTTTTCTCAATCCCCAGTTGCTCCCAGTCAGGTCAAGGGACCTGCTCACGCTGGCCGTGAGACCTTGCCCTGATTTATTATGCTTTTTAATTCATTGTGTGTCTTGGCATTTCCTAATCTCTTGGCTTCCTTCCCCTAGACAGCTCGTGTGGCCATAACTTCCTTATTGTGTCTCCCAGTGTGTCTCATAGCAACCAGGAGATGGAGGGTAATCAGTGAATATATGATAATTTTCTCCAAAGATTTAAACAGATTGCAAATATGATCTTATTTTTGAGTGTTGTATGAGAATGCTGAATGACTAAACTCCCGTTTTATGGCTAATGCATGATCAAATTCCTTTCTTTGAAGTTTAGTGTCACCCCTTAGATTTAAAAAGACAATTTTTTTTCACTTGTGTGTACCTACCAGGTGTGATCTCTTGCTTTTCCTGTTTGTCATCTGTGGACAAGGAGATATTGTCAATTGTTTTGGCTAATTCATATTCTAAAAGTCAGGAAACTAAGTAAATTAATTGAAGAGATTAAACAAACCTTACACAGGAATCATCACATTGATAAGTTGAAAGCACAGATGTTCAAACTATGAGAGGGTGAAAGGCTCTGATTATTTTTGATGCTCTGAGTTTGGAATCTCCAGAACAGTGTTTTTGGAGGCAAGTTCCAAATATTTAGCGTACAAAAGAGTTGTTTTTCATAAAACTCTCTGTAACACAGCAGACCCTTGGTGTCTGTGAGTATATGGTTCCAAGGAGACCACAGTTGGGAGAAAAAAACATGAACGCTCAGAATGCACAGAGTTCAGTACTGTACTGTGGGTGTTCGATTCGTTTTTCTTATAACCCCCCTTCTTCTGCTAAAGACATGATATCTTTCGATAAATCTCAAGTTTTCATTCATCACTTAAATTAAACACATTAACTTTGACTTGTTTTTTGGGCACCATTTGCTTTTTGGGAGGCAGATTTTCATAAAATTAAGGGCAAGGAAACACTCAGCAGATCACAAAATGATTTAAACATGAGAAGTTCTCTGCATCAATTGAGCTGTGTAATGCACAAGTGAGAGTTTAAATGTGGGAGTTTAAAATTATTGTTTTTGAAATTTCTTTTCATTATTTATTTATTTGACTGTGCTTGGTCAAAACCATGTGTAATAAATCCGCGAGTAAGGCGGGCTTGCTATATAAGTATATATAGGAAATTTAGACTAGCCATCAATTAATCAAGTTAAATTCAGGATGACAGTTTTGTGGTCCATTCTAGTGAATGGAATTTGCAGTTCTAGTCTTCCCATTGCAGAAAGCCACCCAAGCGGGCCTCAATTCTGAGCATAAGAGTTCCAGTTAAAACCAACTGCCTATTGTACTTCTACATAACCATCTCTGCCCGTATCCTCCACCTTCATTCTACCACTGGGCTGTGCTTTGTTTGGCTCACTCTGGGTGATCTGGCCATCAATCAGAGCAGCTTGAGAACTCCCAAATCCCATCCTTTGCCCACACCTTCTTTTCCTGGCGGTCTCTCTGTTTTTCCTCCCAATGCTTGTACTTTGATCTCCCTAAATCCTCTCTGATCTGAACCAATGGTCCTCCACTGTCTTCTGCCAGTTTCATTTTTACAGATTCATTCTGAAAACAACTGGTGGTTTTTTTTTTTTTTTTTTTTTGCATGATTGTAATCTGCACCATACAAGATGCCAGGCACTTCCAGTGTCACTCATGGCTGGCATCGTAAATCATTTCTATTTATTTTTCCTTCTTTACATAGTACAGACTGACAAAGTCTATCACTTCATCTGCTTTCATGCAATTACCATTAATTTCTTGGCCTCACCTGCTTCTTCTAAAATGATAAGTAAAAGAAAAAAAATGGGAGTAATTTTCTATTCTGATACTTAATGCTGATGATGAAAATCACCTCAGCATCTATTTAAGACACCAGCAAAAGAGGATATGACTATGAAAAAAAAATTTAAAATTTGATACCCCAAATAAAGTCAGCATAGAAAAACTCAGAATTTTGTTGGAATATAGAGTAGTGATATTTCTATTCAAACTGTACTTATTAGAGTGACAGTACACTCCAATATTTTGGGGTTCATGCATGTCCCACTCCTGAATTCAGACTGTTGAGCATCTTTGCAGGGAATCCCATAACCGATACCGGAGTCACTACAAGTTCAGTCTCTGACTTCCACTGAGCTCTTAGGTCTGAAAGGAAAATTCTGTGCTTTTCTTGGGTCACTTCTCTCCCTTCCTCTTAATGGTTACTTAAACGTTCCCCTCCTTCTTTATGCCTCAGACTTTTCCTAGTCTTTAGCTTTCCGAACCTGGTCTTGCTGCCTGTTTTGTTCATACTCTGTCATCCTACACACTTACCCACATCTAGGCATTGGAGCCATCATGTCTTTCCCTTCCCTTGAGCCTTAGCAGCAGAGATGCTTCTAGTTTGAAGCTGATTCTGTGCTCTTGGGCTTGTGCTCTACTGTTGTTTTGAGGACCCTTCTTCTCACTCTCCTCTATCCTCACCCTTTCCCTCCCTACTGGTAATTAAACATTAATATCCATCCATCCAACCATCCATCCACATATCTATTTATATTTTGGATATATAAATCATTCACATGGAATCAAATCAAAAGACATAAGAGAGACCATGCAGCGAAGAAGCAAGCGTTCTTTCCTTAGCCACTCAGGATCTCTTCCAGGAGGTCACCATGGCTATCAGCCTCTTCTTAGAAGTGCCAGCTGACCACTTCACTCTCATCTCCCAGATCTCTCTCTTAGACTCAAGAGATGTGTCCATCATCCAGCAGACACTTTTACTTAGAAGACTCTGGAAAATCTGCTCTTTCTCCTATATTATTTACCTTAACCACACCTTCTCAGTTATTTTCATGACTCAGCACAAACATAGAAAATTACAAGGACAGTAGAGGCAACCAGCTGGGGGAATCCAGCTGCCCTAGACATGTTCCCAGGGGTTGGGATTAATTGTGCTATACTCTTGGAGGAGTTCTGCTCTTAGGGAATGACACCACCCTATGTTCCAAAGTCGAAAATACTGGGTGCATTCTTGATTCCCTTGAGCGCGCTCTTGTCCTCTTTCCCAGACTGTGTTCTCTGCCAGTCTTATCTCTTTCAAATCTAGCTCCTTTTGTATCTACACACTGTTGGCCATGGCTTGGCTTGGACTCTCATCATTTCTCTACTTTCAATACAACTGGTCTTTCTTCTTGTCTCTCCTCCTTCAATTCATTTTTCCCGTTACAGAGTGATCATTCTAACCTTATAATCTGTTTCTGTCCTCCTCTTGCCTCAAATCTCCCACTGGTTTATTTTATTATTATTTTTAAAATTTTTATTAGCCTCTTTGATTTAAACAAGGTGTCTGACATTCCTCACCTCAAACTCCATTTTCCAGATACAATGAGTTGGCAGTTCTCTGAAAGTTCACTCTTACTTCTTTGCCTTTGTACATGTTGCCCTCTGAATGGACACGCCCTTCCATTCACTACCCATCTAGCTTGAGACTTGTTTCTTCTCACAACTCAGCTTGGTTTTCATCTCCTTCAGAAAGCCTTTCAAAGTTGTGATGGGGCCCTTCTCATTGCTCTCCTGGCCCCCAGCATACCCTCTCCCCACAGTTCTAAGCACATGTGCTCTGTAGTAAGAAGGAGGCTTCTAAGTCAAGAGTCCCTTCTTTCTACCCTCATTTCATTTCATAACCTCTCTATTCCACAACATTGCTTCACCAAAGTTTTACAGGCATGTCATACTATGTCATACATCCACTGGGTACTTTTAGGTCTCATTTTATTTTTCATTTATTTAAATTTTTTTGACAGTACTGGGGTTTGAACTCAGGGTCACTTTACCAGTCCTTTTTTTTAATGTGTTGGGTATTTTCGAGATAGATAGGGTCTTGCAAACTATCTGTCCAGGCTGGCCTTGAACCACAATTCCCCTAATCTCTGCCTCCTGAGTAGTTAGGATTACAGGCATGAGCCACCAGTGCACAATTTGGTCTCATTTCATTTTGAACTCTCCAGCAGCATCTGAAAGTATAGATCTTATTCTTGAAACACTCTCTGGCTTTAGGTCTCCCATGACATCACATTTCAGGGTCTCATTGTATTTCTATCTTATGCTCCTCTGTCAGCTGCTCCTGTTTTACTAAACCATTACAGGCTAGGTTCCTCTGGACTTTCTCCTTTCACGCTCTAGATGATCACAATCATGCTCATGATTTCACTGGTATTTATGAGGCAACAACTCCCAGTTTGACAATTGTAGTCTAGATTATTTTGAGCTCTAGAAAGTATATAGTTCTCTCTCTACTTGATATTTTCACTCTAGACCTCCCACAAGTATTTCAGAATTAGAGTGAAAGAAGCTAAGCTCATACTTCATTTACTCTGGTACCATGCCTCTTCTTGTCCTGTCCCACCAACACACATGCCATATACACACCCTCCCCACACAACACCCCCCACATTCTCATATTCTCTCTTTTGAATAATGGTGATATTCTTTCACCATTCCCCCATCAGTAAATCTATCCAGTTGCTCAATCTGAAGAAGCAGATTGTCTTCTGAGAATCTCCACAGCCAAACTATCACCAGGTCTGAATAGTTCATTGCATCATGTAAATGTAATTATCTCAAATTTCCATTGCCTCTAATCTTGGCCATAATAATCTCTTCCTCATGTCATTGTGCTACCTTCTTAATACTAGTCTTTCTGAAAGTAGTCTTGCCTTATTCCAGTATGCTTTACAAACCAGTCACATACCTGATCAGCTTTCCGGGACTTTCCGGGACTCACCCTATCTCTCTCACTTCCCTTCTCTCATGTTCTTCTGTTGGCTGCTCCTGGCACAGTGATTCTTCATCCAGAAGTCTTCCAATAGTTCCCACGTCTATTCCTCAAGGGTCTGTTTTTTAGCTCCATCTTTTTAGGATTCACCCGCATAAGCTTTTGTGGTTTTTCCAAACAAGCTTTACCACCTCAGGTTCTTCAATTCTATCCCTGGGCATAAGTTCTGACAGCATAGCACCCTATACTTCTCTACACAGTTCTGACTGCATCATAAAGCAGTCATTTGTATGTGTGGCCCCTTGATGGACTGCAGGTTCCAAGAGAGCAAGATCAGGTCTATCTTACTGACCCCTTGTTATTGTTTAAATATGAAATATCCCTCCCAGACTTATGTTGGTGGTGCTATCTTGGGAGGTTCTGAAATCTTTAGGAGGTGGGCCTTGGCTGGAGGAAGTGGGTCACTTGGGTCATGCCTTTGAAGGTTATCCTTGGTCCTGGGTCTTTCCTCTTTCTCTGCTTCCTGGCCACCATCAGATGAAAAATCTTAGGCTAACCCCATGAGGCACTGCCCAACCACATGGGCCAAGTAACCATGGACTAAACCCTCTGAAACCATGAGTAAAATAAATTCTTCCTCCTTTAAGTTGTTCTCTCAGTTTGCAGGGACACACCTACACAAAAGTAACTAATACATCCCTGTATTTCCAGTTCTTAGCACTGGCTTATTGTTGGAATTCCATAAATATTAGTGGAAAGAATGAATGTTGGGCTCCAAAAGATATTTAATTAAAGCTGCTTGCATAAGTGAATTTATTTCTACATGTTTATTTTCATCTTTAACTTGGGATTTTCTTCAAGGTAAAGAATGAAAGAAAGATGCCAGGACTACCTTAATTAATTTATGATGAGAGAAAATGGCAATGAGAAAAATAAACTTATGAAATTTATTGAATTTTAAATAAAGTTGTGTGAAAGTAAATATGGTGTTGTGGGTTTGTTACCAATAGATACATTGCAGTCCTAACTCCTGATACCAGTGATTGTGACCTTATTTGGAAATAGAGTCTAGCAGATATAATCAATTTAAGACAGGGTGATATTGGATGAAGGTGAGTTCTAAATGCAATGACAGATTTTCTTATAGGGAGAGTGAGCGATTTGGAAACACAGATACACAGGGGGAAGACAGACATGTAAAGGAGGGCAGAGACTGAATTGGTGTAGTTTGAAGCCAAGAATGCTAGCATTGCTACTAGAAGCTACAAGAGGCAAGGAAGGTTTCTTCCCTAGAGCCTTCAGGGGAACATGGCCCTACTGAAAGTTGGATATAAACAAAATTTATAAGGTCATACTGTTTGTAAGATATGATTTCTTTAACATTCTTTTTTGTTGTTGTTTGTTTGTTTGTTTTGCAGTACCAGGACTTGGTGTTAGGATCTACACCTGGAACCACCCCACTAGCTCTTTTTTTGTTAGGTATTTTCGAGATAGGATCTAATGAATTATTTGCTCTGGCTGGCTTTGAACCATGATCCTCCTGATCTCTGTCTCCTGAGTATCTAGGATTACAGGTGTGAGCCTCTGGTGCCCAGCAGCATTCTTATTATGTTTTATTTCAAAAGACACACTGAACTGGATAGTTTATTTATGAACAATTTAGTTAAAAATATTAAAATGTGGATTAATCTATATTAATAGTGATTTAGTTATAATGAATATTTCATACTTTTAATAGAAGCCCAATGAAATATCATATCTAAGAGATTACCTGATTGGTATGGCTGAAAAGTTAACACATCTCCAAGTGCGACAAGTTTCTCCTGTTAAAACATTTTATAATTAGAGGATTAAATGATTAATGCTACTAACTTAATTATTTTAATAGAAAAATGCTTTGATTCTTGACTTTAATAAAAACGAATATTTTTAACATATCAGAAATTATAAAACCAAAAGAGTAGTGTTCTGCTGATTCCTTTAAATTTTTATTCTTATTATTTTTAGGAACAAGACATAAGTTGAATACAGAGAAAACCAACGTATGCCATGGGCTAGCAGAATCAATTTAAGATCATTATCAAAGTCAACTTCCTTGTATGTACTCTGACATTACCTGAATTAGATCACTTGTCATTCTGGCCATTATTTGTTCACTTATTTCAATGTCTTTTAGATCTGTAAGAACCACCCAAGTTCCATTCTCAAATTTCACAGGCATAGAAAAGACAATCCCTTCAGGGATACCAAACTGGCCTGCAGTGAGCAAACACAAAACAAGCAAATTCAGAAAAATAAATCTTTCCCAATAAGGATTATAGAAAAGAACACACATAGTTCACAATTTTAATGGCAATGATGGAACTAAATTTCCGAGAATTCCATCCCAGGGAGACCTGAAGCACTCACTCTAGAAGTACTGGCTGAGCATCTGCCCAAGTTCTGACAAGACTCCCTTCTCTACTTCTCTCATACCCAGTGGTGAATGCAGTCTTTCTTTTCCAAACCTCGTCTGCATTCCCTATGTCTGTTTCCCATAGTTTTCTGTGACCCCTATATAAACAATAAGTCCAAGTCATTTTTCCAATCTGGCCTTCCACTCTTTCAGCTACTGTGGCAGCCATATTGCCAGGGTATACAGGATGGGGCAGAGAAGGAAAGCAAGCAGGAAACTTATTTCCAGGCTGGAGGCGCAGCTCAAGTGGTACAGCACTTGCTAAGCAAGCATGAGGCCTAGTTCAGACCCCAGTATTGCCAAAAAAAAAAATTGATTATATCCTTATTGCTTTCAGTTCTCCATTTGGATGTGCTCCAACTAAAAAGACTGACACTATTTGTTAGCAGTCAAGCACCATTCAGATAAAAATATTCCCCCTTTTCTGGTGTCTCAATCAAATAAGAAAATTATTCCTTATTTCAGATGCCAAAACATGTTGTCACTAAGGGGGAAAACAGGATATTAAAAAACCACGATCTAAGAGACTTTTCCTTAGAGGGCCTCCTAGGTTCTTCGTTCATTCTATGTCTTTTATCTGTGAAGAACTTGCCATAGGAGTAGAGAATATATGAGGGTTTACTTAATTGGTATGGTTTCAGGGAGAGAAATAATGATCATTTTTCTCCTTCCCCACTTCTAGTATTACATTCTTTATTTTTGAATGACATTCATAATATAACATGCTCCTTCCCTGAAGGTGTAGAAAGATGAATCAGACAAAAACCCCTGCCATGAGTATACGCACTATAGTGAAGGGGACATATGCACCTAAAACAGCGAACTGTAATATGTTCCCTGATAGTGGAACAAAATGCTATGTGAGTATAGAAAAGAGACAGATGAATTCTGACATGGGAGATTTGGGGAGATGTCCTAGAGTGGTACTGCTGTCACATGGGGGAAAGATGGTGGTTCAGCTAACAACAAGACGCAAGAGATGGGTTAGATTGGAAAGGCAGCCAGTAGCTTCAGCTAGCTGTGTGTTGGGTTGAGTGACAGCACAACATTCATGTGGCCTTGTTTTGCAGGTTAGAATGTAGCAGAAAGGCCCAGGCCTGAAGCAGAGGGAGTGTATAAACTTGCTGAAAGACCTCAAAACACAAAGGGCAGAGATGAGCCCTTCTCTTTCCTGTTTTTTCGAGAACGATTAAGACTGTCACAATTTCTATGCAGTATTTGCTGATACAGACATTCCCAGTGCTGACTGGTCCCCTAAGTTCTGGGTCTTCTTGTGCCCTTTTTATTCTGCCTTTGTGTCTTTGCTCCCACTGCCCACTGTTCTTTCACTTGTCTTCCATGTCAGCACTTCCATGCAGACTTTAAGGCTTTCCATAGTGTCTTCTCTTTATGAAGCCTGACCTGATTCTTATTGCTCCCTATGTAATCTTGACCTTGCTTTCTCCTTCTTGGCTGGGTATAGTGGCAAAAATTTCATGGGGGTGTTTTATTTATGTATCTGACTCTCCTTCACTGTAGGTTTCTGGAAGGCAGAGGCTAAGTCTAACTTCTGTGTGTGTTTCTAGTGATTCATAAAAAACATGACTGAATTTTTGAATGAATAACTGAATGGATGAGTGCATGTATGTATTATAACACTATAAACATCCATACAGCTTATAAACTATGCTAGGATCCAGACAGAGGTTTTTTTTTTAATATTACATGATATAAAAAGCTCAGATTTACCTTCACTCAACACTCCTAAGGACACAATCTCCCCGGGCGGTGAGCCATGGTACCAATATTTTAGTGTAGTGGTTATGCTGTGTGCAGCCAAAATGCCTCCAAATTGTTGCCCAGTGTCAGTCAAGTTTTTAAGAGTCACCACAAATTCTCTTTTTAACCAGTCACTGCAAGGAGAGAAAGAAATGATTATACAACAAAGTGAAGAATGGAAATGAAAAGGGAAGTTCCCTGGGTCACTGGAGTAGAGGAACCATATCCATAGTCCAGGTGGAAATACAATTTTGTGGGGGCTTTTCTTCAAGTGTCTCCAATGCCTGTAAAAAGTTGATGGAAAAATAATGCGACATAGCAGAAAGGAGTCCCCAAATTTCCAACTAAAACATGACAATGTAAATATGGAGCACAGAAAAGCAGTCAAAGACTTCTGGAACAATTACTTTCATCACAAAGAATTTATTCTATATAGATTTTTTTTGGAACCAGTGGAATCATTCATGTAAAGTAAAATATTTTCATAAAACAATGAATCATTCACATTGAGATTCGAGGAAGTAATTATGTCTTTATGGTCTGAAGTCTAAGTTCAGGGATGAGTCCTGCTGAAGTGCCCTGCTAATGTGTTAGCACATGATATAGTTCCATGTGACACTGGCCCTGTGCAGACAGCAAATGCAAAGGAATCAAGTTCTAGCAGGTCAACCTGGGACACATAATTCTTAGGCATGGATGAAGTTCCTATGGTGTGAGGAGGGAAGGAAAATTAGGGACAATGGAAAAGAAATGCTACCACTGGGAAGTGCTGCAGAGTTTAGAAAAGTTTAGAATAGGAACTCCTGCCTATTTCTTGTCCTTTGCCTCTTCATAATGCTAGTGTTTGCTGTGATTAACTGGATTAATCCATTTCATCTTTCCAATGACCCTATATGGACCACACAATGTTACCATTTCCATTCTGACAATGGGGAAACCAAGGCACAAAGAGGTTATATAACTTCATAACTTCTCTAAAGCTACATTGCTAGTAAGTGGCTAAGTGTGAACTCTGACCCAGGTGGCTTGCTGCTGGCACATTGCTGGGTGCCTCACTACCAGTCAGTTCTGCCTCTCTTAGGACACAGACCCAGCCTGGCCTGGCCTGATCATCATCTTACCTCTTGTTTCTTGAAATGTTTTGACTAATTTCAACTTGGATATATATGTCTTTATATTAAATAAGTTCCCTTTATGGATATTTGTTTTAGAGAACAATTTCATAGAATATATGAACTACTTTAAGAATAATCGGAAATAAAAAATTCATAATTTAAAAATAAAATAAATTAGGTTGGGGATTGACTAGCTACTATTCTGTGGAATTTTCTGTTTTTTCAATTGAAAGCATGAGCAAATGTGAGTGTAGCCAATGCAAGTAATTTTCATGCAAAGATTTATAACATGATTCAAAAGATAACAAGTATTATACATTAAATAAAGTTGTTAGTGCACTACTTCTCTTAGAAATATACAGTACCTGTCAAAAATCAAGTCTAAAACAGGGCGGGAAAAATGAGGAGGTCCCCAAATGGCACTCTCGTATCTATAAACCCTTGCTTTCCTCAGATCAACATAGTTATTTCCACTGATATTACCCCAAATTATAACATCTTTGATGCCTGTGAAGAGAAATAAACAATAATCATAATGAAGTACATTATTGTAAAAAATTACCTGGAGCCACTTTCTGTTTGTTGTGTGTTTATGACTGGCCTATTTACTCTACTATGAATCAAAGTTTATGTTCCTTAAAACAGTTCAAAAGATGTTGATCACCTCTTTTACCACCAGGGTTTGGCAACTCCTAATGTTGCCTTATGAATAGTGGGTATCTGAGTAAGTTCAAGGAATACTGAAATATTCCCTGAAAGAAATTGCTACTGAAAATTATATCACTGAGGTTGATCTTATCTTCATTATTCTGTTTGCCATTTAGAGAGAGAGAGGGTGGGACAGAGGACTTTTTACATACTTTGATTTTGACAAGGGACCTTGGATTCTGGAATAAAATAGCTGAAGTGGAGATTCAGGCAAATGATTTAATTTTCTGGGTGGAGATTCATCTCAGCAAAATGAGTGATTATATTCTATGTGGGAGGGATTTCCAGGTACTAGGTTTAGAAGAAAACAGATCATCTCCAAACCTTACAACATTTGGGGGTGGAGGATATGAGTGAGGAAGCAACTATTATACAATGGTATAGTATTTGCTTAGAAAAATCAGAACATATGGGTTAGAGAGAAATCGGGGTTGATATTTAATGATTCTACAATTGTAGATTTTCTAGGAATCGTGTATGCAAAGTGCAAACAAGTAATTTTATTTACTTACAAACTAAGGAACCCTCATACACTGCTGGTGGGAATGTAAGGTAGTGCAACCACTCTGGAAAAAAATTTGGAGGCTTCTTAAAAATCTAAACATAGATCTGCCATATGATCCAGCAATCCCACTCCTGGGGCTATACCCAAAGGAATGCGACACAGGTTACTCCAAAGGCACCTGCACACCCATATTTATTGCAGCGTTATTCACAATAGCTGAGTTATGGAAACAACCAAGATGCCCCACTACTGATGGATCAAGAAAATGTGTATTTATACACAATGGAATTTTACTCAGTCATGAAGAAGAATGAAATCTTATCTCTCGCAAGTAAATAGATGGAACTGGAGGACATCATTCTGAGCGAGGTTAGCCAGGCTAAGAAGAGCAAAAATTGTTATGTTCTCCCTCATATGCGGACTTTAGATCTAGGGCAAATGCAGCAATGTGGTTGACTTGGGTCACATGATAAGGGGAAAGCACATACGGGAATTATGGGAATAGATACAAAACCCAAAACATGGTAGTATTTGATGTCCCCACTCCAGAGGAACTAATACATAAACCTTAAAGTGACAGAGGTCAACATGAGAAGGGAGTTAGGAACCAGTGTAAAGATCAGTTAGAGATGAATCAACCAGGGTTATAACACATATGTGCATGGAAGCAATGCTAGGAATCTCTCTGTATAGCTATCCTTAACTCAACTAGCAAAAATGCTTTGTCTTTCTTATTATGCTTCTGTTTTCTTTTCAATAAAATTAGAGAAAAGGGCAGAAAAGGTTCTGCCTGGAAGTGAGGGGGGTTGGGGTGAGAGGGTGGGAGCAGGGGAGCAGGGGGCAGAAATGACCCAAACAATGTAAGCACATGTGAAAAAAAGAATTAAAAAAAGAAACAAACTAGGGGAGAGAGGAGGACGGGAATGTATCTTGGGCAGACAGTCATCAATGTCTACCTTGTTCTCAACCATTCTCTCCCTCAACATGGCTCATGAAATAGGAACAGCAGTTCTCCCTTCATCACCCAGTTGCCAGGAGTGATGTGCATTTGGGTTGCCCACATTAGCTGTGTGTTGTAGGAGTGAAGGGAAGGTGGTAGTTGGGGGTTGGAGTTCATGGGACCCACATAGGGGAAATAGTTCTCCAGCCCCAGGTAAGCATATGGTAGAGTTTTTTCCTGGAGTCTAAAGAAATCTTTTAATCATACCAAGTCTCATTTTCTTTCCAACTTTGAGGCCCTTTATAGCTTTCAATACCCTTAATTGTGACACAGAAAATTAGTGAACTTCTACTGTTTTTTTTTTTCCTCTCAGCATCTCCTCTCCATTCTTTTTTTCTTCAACAGCATCCTGTTTTTTTTTTAAATAGCTACCCTTTCTCCAATATCAGTCCATACAGTTTGGCTGGGGTTGTTCCTACCTGTAAGTCCAGCAACCAGGCATGAGGCCCAGACTCTACCCTTCTGACCACAGTAATTGATCCCAAGGCTAGCCAAGGAGTCTGTACTCCTTTTTCACATACAAGTGGGAAAGAAAGCCCATAGATTGGGTAGGTGAGGTATGAGCAGTGGAGCCAGGGATGCCAGTGGCCATTTTGCCTTTCCTTGGAGCCTAGTTGAGAATAAAATGAACATGGAAGGATGAGCTAAAAGGGACAAGTCAGTCTGATGTCATCATTGGAGCTCCAGCATCCAGCTCTGCCTGAAATAAGAACAACCCCTGTAAGTTCCCTAAAAAAATTACCATTTTGAGTCAACTTTCTGCCACTTGAAGCATAAGGAGTCCCAAGTAAGCCTTGCTTTCCTGAAAAGGTTTGCTATCCTCTTAGCATCCGGCATGATCCTGCTGATTTCCTGTTCTCTATCATACTGTGGTTAACTCTGCTTTTGTAGTTGCTGGTTTTCTCCTTGTTGTTCCATTGACAATTCTGCTTTGACAGTTGTCCATCTAATGTGTGTCCTTCCTTTTCCTAATTTCCCTCTATTATTTTCTTGTTCCTTACATGCTTATTTACTGTGATAGAGCAGAGTGGAGACTGATGTCACAGCAGAACCACAAGAGAGTGGTTGTCTGGTTGGAAGTCCTCTATTATCACCCACCACACATATCTTGTTTTAAGTTTTGTATCACTGCTTCTTCTTGACGCTGTTCATCACTGTGATAAGTCAGTGTCTACATACATAGCTATAAATTTGGTGACAGAAATAAAATGAATAGAATATGTTTCATTTCCTACTGATCAATTGTACCAATGATTTTGTTGAATTTTCCACTGACCTTAGGGTTAAGGATAGGTATGCAAGAATACCAGAAGTTATGCTTCCTGGGACTTCCTTGTAAAGAAATCGAAGTCCTTATTGCTCAGATTTGGAGTATTCTGAGCAGACACATTTCACAAGTGTCTTCTCAGTTTTGCTTGAGAGACAGCGTTGCACCTCCTTCCATTTCAATGGATGCTATTATACCTGCTCCATCTAAGGGCAAAAAGAGCTAAAGTGTGTCAAACAACATCCATTTTTCTGATATGGTCTCATTTTCACATGGTGCTGATTATCTACTGGTTCAAAGATTAATAGGAACTGACCAGATGCCATAAACCTACTGATAACTTTCCAACCTTGCACAGGTTACTACGTGCCAGGTGCTCTTCTAAGCATTTTAGAAATGTTATTTCATTGCAGCCTCACATCGATTCTAGGAGGGAGGTGCTGCTAATATCCTCATTTTACAGATGAGTAAACTGAGGCACAGCAATTTTGCTCAAGGTTACATGGATGGGAAGGGGGGGTGAAACCATTTTAACACAGCTCTAATTTTTTAAAACAACACTGACCATGTTAATTGACTATTATTGTGGAAAAATGGAATATTATTAGGTTTCAAATTATGACTTGACTGATATAGATCTTATTGCATTAATTTTTTTGGTGGAGTGTGGTTGTACTCCAACTACTTGGAAGGCAGAAGCAGGAGGGTCCTGGTCTGAGGCCAGCTGAGGCAAAAGCATGAGACTCTGTCTGAAAATTTAAATAAAAAAGGTCTGGGAGTGTGGCTTAAGTGGTGGAGCACCTTAAGTGCCAGGCTATGAGTTCAAGCCCCATTAAATATTTGTTAATTTTTATAACGACAGACAAAATCAGTTGGAAAAGATGGTAAAATTGTGTGCATAACACAATTGTCCCCCCTTATCCAACGTTTTCCTTTCCATGGCTTCAGTTGCCTTCTGTTAAAACCACAGTCTGAAAATAATATTAAATGGAAAATTCCAGATATAACCCATTCATAAGTTTTAGGTAACTTTTATGAGGGTATATTGTTATAATTGAATAGTTTATTATTAGCCATCATTCTTAAGCTGTTACCGTTCCTACTTTATGAATTAAACTTTATCACAGTACATGTGCATGGAGAAAAGAGGGTAGGTAGAGCCAGCACCATGGGGTCTGGGGGTGTCCCCCCCAGGAGGGAGGACACCCCACATATCCAGAATGACGCTGGAGTACGCAGCCTTCTTGGCTGCAGAAATCGCAGTTTAACAACAGACAGGAGGGCAGCAGGGGTTCACTCACACGAGGGGGCTGTTTTCAGCTTTCTGGCCACTGCAGCTTTCGCCTCGCCCTCCACCCCGAGCGCCACAGCGATGATGTTGCGCGCGATGCCGGGGGCATACCGCATGAGCAAAACCGCCTTGAGGTTCACGAAGGTTTTCCCTCCCACGACGACCCTGACCGACTCGTGGGCGTTTTTCTCCATCAGGTACCCGTAGAGCCGACACAGCGGCACCCTGCTTCGCAGGCAGTCTTCCAGCGTGTGCACCTCCTCCTCCATGCTGTCCTCCAGCACGATGATCACGTCGGCCTGGCGGAAGGCCTCCTCCACTTTGGTGCAGAAGGACACACTGCGCAGGACCGGCGACGCCAGGTCCTCGGTCTCAAGCACCAGGCCTTGCAGGGATTTTTCCACCTCCTCTTGGTCAAACAGAGTCAGGCTGATTTCTGTGTGCAAGCCAAACACCTGGCCGCTCGTCAGTATGGGGATTAGGTTGTAGCAGGCAGGGGAGGCTGCGCTGGTGAAAATGCAGAGTTAAATTGTGAATGGTTAGATCCTTTGTCCCATCAAGCATTTGCGCTAATAGGTATTTCTGCATGTGCATTAATGGGATGATTTAACATTTTAAATAAGCATTCACGCAGCTGCACTGATATTTTAAAGGCTAGAAATCAGAAGTGGAACAAAAAAAATTCTCACTACTCACCTCTTGCTTTGAGCATCTGCAAAGAATCTCAAAATAAGAAATGCACCTGTATATTAAGATTTTTTTTGAACAATAGAATTCCCCATATGCAGAAAACAAAATTTCAAACAACTATACCACATTATTCTAATTACATGTTTACATTTCCTCTTGAAAACGTTAAGATGTATGTTTCACTTTGCCATAATTCTCTTTTGTACTCTAATGTACAAAGGAATAACATTTTTTTGGAACGGACTGTTTTTTTTTTTTTCCCAAAGAAAATCCCTTACAAAGATAGCAAGGCTGGATATAGGCTGTACATGGTATGTCTACAACCACATACAACAAGAATCTGCCCTTCCATTCTGTGATAATCAACTATGGGGAGCTGAGAATTTCTGGGACTCATGGTGGACTGGGGGAGGCATACATTGGGGATTCCCATAGTACCTAGCTCCTTTAATCCATTGAAGATATGGTATTTATTAAATCTGGGTGATAGGGTTACATATTTATTGTATAGTTCTCAGTTCTTTTCTGTATTTGTAATATTTCATAATGACAAATAGTTTTTAAAACAAGTCTGTATATTAGGGTACATACATGTAGTGAGGACAGTGTGAGAGATGGACTGAGGGGGTGGAGAAAAACGAGAGGGAGGGAGAGAGGATGAAAGACAAAGAGAGATGAGTGCAGGGACTAAAAGAGAGAAAGTGATAACAAAGATTACATGTGTCCTAGTCTGGGATCAACTAGGTGCAAACTCTTGGAGAAAAGAAGGAGCGGGGTGAGGGGAGGGGAGTTTAAATGAGTGAGCAAGCACATGAGGAAGAGCCAAGAAGAACTGGTAAGCAGGAAGGAGGGAGAGGACAGTGGCCACAGAGAGGGCAAGTGCCAGAGACAGAACTTGACAAAGCAGGAATGCTGGAAAGTTGCTTTCAGATTCAGTTTGTGTGTGTGTGTGTGTGTGTGTGAGTGCATGCACAAAACCTAAAACTCATACATGGAGTTATATTGTAGGATGCACACATACACAAGTATGAATTTACAACCATGTGCCCTGGTATGTAAGTACATATACACACATCTCAAACCTGATACTCAGGTCTTCTTCCATCATAGAATTAATACCATCTCATTCTCCTTTCTTAGAATAAAAACCCAGTCTTTTAACTCCTGGGCTTTGGTGGTCCCACCTGGTGATCCAGATCTGTAAGGGGCTGATTAGGCCTTTCAGGTTTTCTTTCTCCTGCTTTTTTTCTAGGTGTGCCTCCAGGTTCTCTTGAGCAATTATCATCATCATCTCAGTTGTCATGCTAGAGGTGACACCATAGTAAAGCTAAATATTTGGGAAGAAAAGTCAGAGAACACATCATTACCCAACAACAGCGATCATGGACAGTCTTTGCTCAAAGTCAAAACAGACTAGAAAGAGGGATGAGAGAAAGTCTCAGTCAAAACAGACTAGAAAGAGGGATGAGAGAAAGTCTCAGAAAGCAAAACTTTTGAAACACAGCCTAATGTTAGAGAGTAACAACTTTCTGAACAGATAAATCAACTTAATTCACGTACCTGGACATGCTCCAGGAACTCATTATATCCTCCCAGAAGCAAACCCTTTTCTCCACGATCCAGCAGCTCTCTCCAGATGATGGGGGAGTTTTTGTGATTCCATTTATTCTCTTCACACACATTTTCAAGCCACTCCTATTGAATGGTACTCCAAGAAGAACAGTGTGTTAAATCTGCCTGAGAATTCAACTTAATACCATAGAATAAACACCAAAATACCAGCTTGTTTTTAATGCCACTGTGTACATGTAATATAATATATGTGTATATAATAATATAACCTTAAACAGTAAAATGTAAACACAGAAAACAGTGAAGATTTAAGTTAAAAGTTAGTAAATAAGAAATGATATTCTCCAAATTCACTGACCAAAACAGGTAATGAATGTTACTGTTTTTGCTAAGAAGACATGAGGTATAAGTGTTTAACTGAAAAAAAGGTCAGGTATTCTTATTGGACTGATTTTTAAAAAGACTTTTTTCTCTTATTCTTATATATGAGATATTTCTGATTTTAGGGTCACATAAATTTTGGTATTTTCAAATCTGTGGGCATGGTTCATACTGAATTAATGAGCTAAATGTTATTTGGGGTTTCTGATAACATTTATTGGAAAAAATTTATCATTATATGGTTTGGGTAGACCAGGCCTTCCAATGATGAGCTCTGAGTAGACACAGGAAGCTACATTCTTGTCCACAAAATATAGAGCAGCAGTTTAAAAGCTATCTCATTATTGGAGACACATGTAATGAGGCTACCTTACAAGTAAATCTTGAGAACTAATTCCTCTTGTTGATGCTGAAGATCAGTATTCCATCTGAAAGCAAACAGTATGAGGATTCAAATTATAGCATAGCCTGGCCAGTGGACCACTAGGCCCAAGAAGGAAAGGGGCTCTATTCAGCACCAAGCAGAATACGTTGATGTTTCTGCAGCAGCTGGATGAATATGTTTAGGACTGCACTCTTGTAATGCTAAATCAAGAGTGGACTTTCAGGAGATAATGATAATGTGTTGCTAGACAGACTCTTGGAAACTTGGAAAAAGTGATGACTCAAATAAAATTAAAATTAAAATGCCAGAACTGTGATGGATGTCAGTGGAAGAAGGGATCAACAGGCTAGTGGACACGGTAGTTTGGGAGACTAGAAATCCTACTAATCAGTCATGTTCTCTGAAAGGGCCTCAGTGACACTACATTAAAGCCCTGGATGCATTGCAGAGAGGGTCCAAGTGTTACTGAGAAAACCACTGTGTCGATTCCAGGCCAGGGCTGTTAAAGGGCACACTGTTACAGAGCTCTGCTCCCTGGTAATGGGAATGATAAAATCTGGAAGTAATGAAGCTGGGAGGGGACAGTGCCCCCACCCCAGAGAGCATCTCTTATGAAAGAAGAACTAACTAATCCGGTGGATAAGATAATAGATAGTGGCACGCACAGTGGGCTCACTGAAGAGATAGATGTTATGTAACCAGCTCATAAGGAAGGACTGAAGATCGACAGACCCTGGCAAACCTGACTAAAAGGAGGAGAGAAAAAACCCAAATTAGTAGAATCAGAAATGCAAAAGGGGAGATAATAACAAACACCATGGAAGTCCAGGAAATCATCAGAGACTTCTTCGAGAACCTATATTCAAATAAATTTGAAAATCTTAAAGAAATGGACAGATTTCTAGATACATATGAGCATCCAAAACTGAACCAAGAGGAAATTAATCACTTGAATAGATCTATAACACAAAATGAAATTGAAGCAGCAATCAAGAGTCTCCCCAAAAAGAAAAGTCCAGGACCTGATGGATTCTCTGCTGAATTCTATCAGACCTTTAAAGAAGAACTGATACCAACCCTCCTTAAACTGTTCCACAAAATAGAAAGGGAAGGAAAACTGCCAAACACATTTTATGAAGCCAGTATTACACTTACCCCAAAACCAGGCAAAGACACCTCCAAAAAGGAGAACTATAGGCCGATCTCCTTAATGAACATTGATGCAAAAATCCTCAAGAAAATAATGGCAAACCGAATTCAACAACACATCAAAAAGACCATTCACCACGACCAATAGGCTTCATCCCAGGGATGCAGGGGTGGTTCAACATACGAAAATTAATAATCGTAATAAACCACATTAACAGAAACAAAGACAAAAACCACTTGATCATCTCAATAGATGCAGAAAAAGCCTTTGATAAGATCCAACACCATTTCATGATAAAAGCTCTAAGAAAACTAGGAATAGAAGGAAAGTACCTCAACATTATAAAAGCTATATATGACAAACCTACAGCCAGCATTATACTGAACGGGAGAAAAACTGAAACCAGCCCTCTAAAATCAGGAACCAGACAAGGATGCCCACTATCTCCACTCCTATTCAACATAGTACTGGAATTCCTAGCCAGAGCAATTAGGCAAGAAGAAGGAATAAAAGGAATACAAATAGGTAAAGAAGCTGTCAAAATATCCCTATTTGCAGATGACATGATCCTATACCTTAAAGACCCAAAAAATTCTACTGAGAAGCTTCTAGACATCATCAATAGCTACAACAAGGTAGCAGGATATAAAATCAACATAGAAAAATCATTAGCATTTCTATACACTAACAATGAGCAAACTGAAAAAGAATGTATGAAAACAATTCCATTTACAATAGCCTCAAAAAAATCAAATACCTAGGTGTAAACCTAACAAAAGATGTGAAAGACCTCTACAAGGAAAACTATACACTTCTGAAGAAAGAGATTGAGGAAGACTATAGAAAGTGGAGAGATCTCCCATGCTCATGGATTGGTAGAATCAACATAGTAAAAATGTCAATATTCCCAAAAGTAATCTACATGTTTAATGCAATTCCTATAAAAATTCCAATGATTTTCATTAAAGAGATCGAAAAATCTACCATGAAATTTATATGGAAACACAGGAAGCCACGAATAGCCAAGGCAATACTCAGTCAAAAGAACAATGCTGGAGGTATCACAATACCTGACTTCAAACTATATTACAAAGCAGTAGCAATAAAAACAGCATGGTACTGGCACAAAAACAGACATGAAGACCAGTGGAACAGAATAGAGGACCCAGATATGAAGCCACAAAACTATAACCAACTTGTCTTTGACAAAGGAGCTAAAAATATACGATGGAGAAATAGCAGCCTCTTCAACAAAAACTGCTGGGAAAACTGGTTAGCAGTCTGCAAAAAACTGAAACTAGATCCATGTATATCACCCTATACCAAGATTAACTCAAAATGGATCAAGGATCTTAATATCAGACCCCAAACTCTAAAGTTGGTACAGGAAAAAGTAGGAAATACTCTGGAGTTAGTAGGTATAGGTAAGAACTTTCTCAATGAAACCCCAGCAGCACAGCAACTAAGAGATAACATAGATAAATGGGACCTCATAAAACTAAAAAGCTTCTGTTCATCAAAAGAAATGGTCTCTAAACTGAAGAGAACACCCAAAGAGTGGGAGAAAATATTTGCCAGCTATACATCAGACAAAGGACTGATAACCAGAATATATAGGGAACTTAAAAAACTAAATTCTCCCAAAACTAATGAACCAATAAAGAAATGGGCAAGTGAACTAAACAGAACTTTCTCAAAAGAAGAAATTCAAATCACCAAAAACACATGAAGAAATGCTCACCATCTCTAGCAATAAAGGAAATGCAAATTAAAACCACACTAAGATTCCACATCACCCCTGTTAGAATAGCCATCATCAGCAACACCACCAACAACAGGTGTTGGCGAGGATGCGGGGAAAAAGGAACCCTCTTACACTGTTGGTGGGAATGTAAACTAGCACAACCACTCTGGAAAAAAATTTGGAGGCTACTTAAAAAGCTAAACATTGATCTACCATTTGATCCAGCAATACCACTCTTGGGGATATACCCAAAAGACTGTGACACAGGTTACTCCAGAGGCACCTGCACACCCATGTTTATTGCAGCACTAGTCACAATAGCCAAGTTATGGAAACAGCCAAGATGCCCCACTACTGATGAATGGATTAAGAAAATGTGGTACCTATACACAATGGAATTTTATGCAGCCATGAAGAAGAACAAAATGTTATCATTCGTTGGTAAATGGATGGAATTGGAGAACATCATTCTGTGTGAGCTTAGCCTGGCCCAAAAGACCAAAAATCCTATGTTCTCCCTCATATGTGGACATTAGATCAAGGGCAAACACAACAAGGGGATTGGACTTTGAGCACATGATAAAAGCGAGAGCACACAAGGGAGGGGTGAGGATAGGTAAGACACCTAAAAAACTAGCTAGCATTTGTTGCCCTTAACGCAGAGAAACTAAAGCAGATACCTTAAAAGCAACTGAGGCCAATAAGAAAAGGGGACCAGGAACTAGAGAAAAGGTTAGATCAAAAATAATTAACCTAGAAGGTAACACACACGCACAGGAAATTAATGCGAGTCAACTCCCTGTATAGCTATCCTTATCTCAACCAGCAAAAACCCTTGTTCCTTCCTATTATATCTTATACTCTCTCTACAACAAAATTAGAAATAAGGGCAAAGTAGTTTCTGCTGGGCATTGAGGGGGTGGGGGAGAGGGAGGGGGCGGAGTGGGTGGTAAGGGAGGGGGTGGTAAGGGAGGGGGGAGAAATGACCCAAGCCTTGTATGCACATATGAATAATAAAAGAAAGAAAACTGAAACCTTGCAAGGATGGGTCATCTCTTTCAGGGTGTCATATATGCCATGAATCAATGTAGTGTTTTGCCCTAATCTTTAGAATATCTGAATCCAGGAACCAAGAGGTAGAATTTACAGGTCACTCCCAGGAACCCACTGGGGTAATTTGTGCTTTTAAATCCTAAAGTGGGAGAAGATATCAGGGGATACAGGAAGGATCTAATGGCTGTGGCTGCCTTTAGTCTCAGTGAACTCCTGTGCTAAGATACCAGCAGGCAAGGAAAGGATTTACCATCCAGGAAGGGATAACTGGCCCTGCTCATCAGAAGCATATATGACTGTTATTACCCAGTGTAGATACTAAAGAATATTCAGCATCTAGGTTTTCTATAGAAGCATCTTTGGTATCACCCTGCTCAATTTTGACAGTTGGACAAATACAGCAGTCACATCCTGAAAAGGGATTAGGGCTCAGAGCCCTTAAGCACAAAGACCTAGGTCACCACACCCAACAAGTCACTTAGACCAGCAGAGGGTAATGGGGAATCTATAATGGACAGGAGAGAAGAGAGTCTGTCCCTGAATCTTATGTGATGTGGAGAATATAGTTCCTTTGACTAACTTTTATCTTGTAAAATTTCCCCAGGGAAAGATGCCGGCTGGATCCCTGGAGAAGCTGTTAACAGATGGTGTGAAATTATTGTATGGAACACATAGATCCAAAGGTGCACAGGTGGACTGTGGCAGATGCTGTCATGTATAGTCCAGATTCTCCCTTCCTAACCTATGCACTCAGGCCCTCAGTCACCAGGTGCATTGGAGACTGATGGCTTACTGCTGAGTCTAAAGGAATGACCTCAGCCAAAGGGAGTCCTCTTATCTAAGGTTACATCTCTTCCCCAGAGGTAGCCCACATCAAGTGACTGGATGATGTGGAAGTACAAAAGCGCAGCTACCATGAATCAACTTGGGATACCTCTGAAAAGCTCTCCCAGCATGGGTTTCCTGTAGGATCATCTGAGCCCTCAAATGCAATTGTATCACAGTTTGCCTTCCCCCTTTGCCCAGTCCTGCTGCCCTTATTGCTTTTCAGGATGTTATTGCCAAGAGTACCTTCCAGTAGAACCCCTTCTCCAATATTTTCATCTGTTTGTTGAGCAACACAGTCACAGAAATATGAAGGAGAATGAAAAGTTAATAAGCACAATATAAGCTACCTGGGTTTCTTGGTGGGGGTGGAATCACCAAACTTATTTCACTTATTGATTAGGGTCTCGCTTTTTCTATTAGGTGTTAGGAAAAAACAAGTAAGGTTCTTGAAACTGATGAGTGGGAGCTAATTTTACTAGTAAATATCATTAGTGCATGAGCATTCATTACTGGAAGCCAATATGATATACCAGCTAGTATTTTATTAAATCAGAGCATAGTTTTTATGCTTGTGTGAGTTTAACTAAATATAAAGACTTCTTACCTCCCAAACGTCAGGACATTGAGTAATTTTATATATTCGAAAATTAGGAAGATTCTTCTGTAAATAGTCTGCCAGAAGTTCTGCCTTAGCATAATGTGGACAATCTGCTCTACCTAAGACAGCTCAAATTAATCAAATTTTCTTTCAAGGCATAGAAATTATGTAGTTTATATATACAATTATGGAATTAAGCATAGTTATATATACTTTTATAACATACAATCATAGTATAAATTGTTACGATATAAACTTCTGATTTTTATTGTACTGATAAAAAAGTGATAGGAGCTGAGAATTTGTGGGCCGACGCGGGGTTTACTCACCCGCGATCACGAATTTAGCCATGATCTGTCGAGACCCACAGGCAGAGACCACGGCGTCGTGGTTTCCTAGCAACCACGCGGACAAGAGTGGCGCAGGCGCACTCTGAAGTTAGCGCCCTGGCCCAGCACGAGATGTTAGGGGTTCAAAGTTATGACTTGTCACTTGCGGCACACGATCACACACCACCTTTATAAACTCTGTGCCTATTCCCAGTTTATACCTCTGCACCCAAGAAAAATATCAATCTTGGCTGACAGGCTTTTTTCTCTCCTTGAGCATCTCTTTCGACAACTGCCGCGAACAGAGGCTTTT